CGAGGGGGGGTCGCCAGGCGATACTCCGTGCATACGCACGCACACCGTCCATGCGCACAGACCACACAGGCCACACCGCGGGCAGTCTCAATTTGACGAGATAAGATAATTGCGAAAATTGGAGGTACTTGCTTTATTCTAGGATGGCTCACCATGTGCATATAAATAAATTAAGAGAACAAAAAAAGTATTCGGGTGAGAATTGATGGAGCAAAATTCCCCTTGCTTATCAGTGATTTTTCCATCGAGAGGCTCAATAGAAAATTGAATTCCTCAAGAACATGAAGAAGAGTGAAGAATTCCACTCCCCTGATGATATTTTCCGTACTAGACACTCCCGGTAGTTTATAATATCACCGAGGATAATAAAGATACAAAGGTTATTTATACAATATTCTGAAATAAATTCCTTACAGTTGGTGTTTTATTCAAGGATCTCAAAGGAAACAGAAAATATTCAAAAATTCAAGTGAAATCAAAACGTTTTATGCTACTCAAATGATATAAATATAATTAATTTAGCCATTTTTTTTTACTGTTCAGGAGCAGTCCCGCTGAGGTGCAGTACTACGATGCCGCTGGGATCACTCAAACCCCCAGAACTGAGCCTCTACTTTAGTCAATCATCTCTCGTTGACAGTTCATTCTGAGGAAAGGGAAACGCAACAAAAGGTAATAATTTTTTTATTTTAATTTGAAAGGTCTGTATTACAATGTAAAATAACAGTTTTTAAATAAATGTTAAGTTCGTAATCGCTCTCTAGGTGTATCCTCAGTTTCGTATTCAATCTCGACTTTAGGTCGTTTGGACTGTTTTTTCCTCCCTTGACCTAGTTTTGATTTCGATTTGCTGGTGGTAGGCATGATGTCCTCGATGTCACTTGTATCACTCTGAAAACTATCGGACAATTCGACTCGCTCTCTCTGCCCAGAATCACTCTCTACTTCCACTTCGTAATTATCATCATCGTCATCACTGTCACTCACAGCCTCCACGAATCTCCCTCCATTTTTGGCAAATGCATTAGCATCTGCTTCCAACTCCATTTCGACTTCTTTCTCAATTTCCTGCTCACTTTCCTCCTCAGCTTCACTTTCTCGTTCGCTCTCGCCTTCCACTTCGACAGCCTCCACAGCCTTGTCGAACACTTGTTGTGGGAAATTGTAGATATCCTGGTACATTCCTTGCTTCAATCTGTCCATCAATTGTTTCTCAATAGCAGTATCGAGCTTGGCGGCAACCAGAGCCTTCTCCTCTCGCCTCCTCTCCCTTCTCTCAATCTTTCTTTGTAATGGTACGAGTTTTTTCTGACGCCTGAGCCTCAACTTCCTCATGCGAATGAGGTACTGAGTGATCTTCACGAATCTCTGTTTGCATTTTGCCTTGATGAATCCTGGCCAATACAGCAGGTTCTCGTTAATCTGGTGGATGGCTTTCTCGAAGTTCCTAGACAGCTTCACCTTTTCCCATTGATTTTTAGGCTCATGAATTCTGTCAGATTATGAATTCATTAATAATATCAGACATAACCAACTTGATTAATAATCGAATTTCTTTATCAGGTGAAACACTTGAAAAAATGATAAAATCCCAATTTACCGTTCTGCAGTCCTCATGAACAAGTAAATAATTCCGTTTTCCTCTCTCACAGTGGCATACTGACTGTTGGCCAAAGGGCATGAAGCTCGACTGCACAATCCTGTCAAATTATACTCATTTCTGCAGAACCTCTGGCCCTTCGTACTGAAATAAAAAAAATGTCAATTTCCAAAAATCTGTTAACCCCTAAATAAAAAACATATCGACTTACTTGACTTTGAACGAGCAAAACGATTTATTGATAATGCTCCAGACGACCTGAAACAATTTTCTAGGTTATAACCCCTAAATTTAATATTTCCTCCCCTGAATAAACGAACTTACGTCGTCGTGCTGCATTTTTCTGACAAATCGCTATTCCTTTCTATCCGAGCCTCACCCACAATTTATCACCCTTAAATACCACGCGATAAACACGTCAACTCCAATAAAAAAATCACCACGTGCGTCCACCAACAATTCCAAATTTCCATCTAATTTCAGAACCCAGAGTCGATAAAGAGGAAAATCTGGAGTAGTCTGCGCACTTTCCCTTTCTTTTGTCAATAAAGTCAACAAAGTCAACACAACAAACCCAAATTCAATGACACGTCAATTAACTATTGATTAAAGATAATCCGGAGTGACTGGAGAGATTTTACTAATTAACTCCTGTATTTCTCCATTAAATTTTTTAAATCCGGCGGCGTCAATTTATTTTTTTTTCGGAGCAAATTCTTTTTATGTGTTAGTGTCACTCCTGCAGCCAACTTCACTCGTGCCCACCAGTAAAGATCAATTATTTGCAGCAGTAGGAGATATGCCCTGTTTGAGTCAACATCAGTCACCATCAGCTGTTGTCTGACCTCTTCACACGTGAAATGACAGTTATTTAAAAAATCCTTTGACATGTGTCAAATAGTGTCATCAAGAAAACGTGAGATACAAGTTAGTGCGGATTAATTCAGTGATATTCATGCTTTTGGTGGAGTTGGCTGGATTTTTCTCACTTCTGATAAAATGAACGGAAGCCTTGGTCTGCTTCGTGGTGGTCCTGATCAACATCCCACGAGATTTGCGGATTATTTTGTCATCTGCGGACTCGACAAGGACTCTGGACTCGAGCCAGACAAGTATTTCGGTGAGGCCATGAGGTTTTTAGAATAGATTCAATTGTTCGAGCTGATGCTGTGCGATTTTCTTTTTTTCTTCGGTGCCTTTCACTTCTTTTTGATGGATTTATTCACTGTAATGTGACCTCTGTGCTCTCGATTTCACAATGCATGACAACTCCAGATCGCACGCGCGATTGTTATCGTTTGTGTTTTTCTTTTTCGTTTTTAGAGGGAAACGGACTCTAGATTTTTCAGTGGTATCACGGTCGTGTAACAATTTACAGATTGAGATAAATTGTGCTAATTTAATGATAGTTTTGTTGAAAAGATTCTGAAATACTCGTGAATATTCGATAATTGTGATGAAATCACTTCAGAGTCTTTGGACTTAAATATTTTCGTAATTTGACACGTAGTCTGCTTTTTGCAGAATTAAAAAAATTAAAATTAAAATCGGAAAAACCCCTCAATTTTTTCATGCCCCCCAATTCAGAAATAAATCAATTAATTGGACTTAGCCGGGAGTCATTCCAAAGGGAAAGTTTTTTTTTCCGCGGATAAATATTTTGCATTGTATAAAGGATGACTAGCTAGAAAGCAAAAATGTAAAAACGCACTGTTTTCCGAAATTATGTTGAATTATTGAAAGTCCGGTCAAATTCGTCCGTAGAAAACATTCGATAACCATTCATAAATATTAAATCATGATAATCCACTGACTTTCGTAATTTAGACTGAAACATTCATGAGACTGACGGTTCTACTGTTTATTCTTAGTATAAAAAAAGTGGAATCAGTTTTTTTTGTAATTGATAATTTGAGAATAAATTCTTTGATAGAAAATTCCAACGGTGAAAGAGTATTTTTTCTGTGGAAAAATAAATTGTCAGTCTATTAAACATTTAACGAGTCGCTAGAATGGAGAAAATGTCAAAAATACAGGTTTTATTTAATAAAAAAACTGGAAATTGCAGTTGTCATTGATTTTAAATTTTATTTTGAATTTTAAATTCGCATGCCATGTTACCCCACACAGTGATCCACCATCAAAATGTTGAATTGAAACCCAAGCATTCTTCCGTCCTGGTTGGACAATGAATTTCACAGGAAGTGAAAAGATCCTCGAGTGTAAAAAGAATACCACCCGCTCGGTGGGGATCAGCTGCACAGATTTTTCTCAGAACACATGTTCAAAGGAGTCGGTTTACACCTCTCATCCCTCATTTTCTTTTTTCCTCGATACCAGGGCCCTCATTCCCCTTATCATCACACCACCGCGATACCGATACGGGTAATTCAGTTCCTCGAGTACTCGGAAAATCTTATTACATTTAGAAAAAGAGCTGGTGAAATGGACTACCTCGAGTTGGTTCTCAACTTTAGTATAGGGTATTTTCTATTCAGCCCCTTAAGGATCACCTCAAGGATTGCGCCTTTCCATGAGGATTTTGCCGGTAGGTAAATGGGAAATTAACAAAAGGCCCCGTTACGACTCCCGAGGACCCAAAGCAGCTGCAGCTGTTCGGTCCCTTTTATTTTCACCATTGTATCTTTGAGACCGAAGATTAAAACCAGATACTGAACGAAACTATTCCATTCGGTGGTACTCAGTTTATCTCATAAAATCGGCACTTGCCTAGTACATTAATTTTGTAGACTGAACGAAATGTTCACCGACGATACTCTCCCCCATCGCCACCAATTGACGACAATTTGTGTCAATGGCTCTGGTTGGTGTAACTGACAATAGAGACGTAGGAGTTTCGAAATTTCGTCTATTTATTCTTAAAAACAACGAATAAAATCTCATTATTCTTATTTTATCTGAGATACTTCAACAATCAATATTGTACATCGCCATAAAAATTCTTCTGAACTATCAAAAAAAAATATCTTAAATTTGAGTCAACGGAAAAACCTCCACGAATATTCGAGGGAAATCATAATTAACAATTAACAATTTAATGATAAAAATCAATACAAACAAAACTGCTGTCTAATTATTCCATGCATTCCACACAAAAATCGAGTAGATAATTTGTAAATTTCACTGAGTTCCCCGAATTAGAAAATTCTTTATTTTTTCCTCTGTACTGAATTCAATGTCGCAGTGCTGTAAATTATTAATCAGCAGTCCTTGAGATTTCCCTCTCCCGCTGTGTAGATTAGAGTAATTAATTAAATAGGATGTTTAGTATTTAAAACGGAATTCATTCTGGAGTAGTAGAATGAGTGATCGATTTGCAGACTCAACTGGCGGAAAGTTTTTCATCGCATGATTCATTTTGCCGCATCAATTACTTGACTCTGGGCCAATGCAATTGGTCAATTGGTCCAATCATTGTATAGTTGAGTTGCCGCGAGGCAAAAGGGCCCACTATTTTTATTTAACTGGTTTTATTATCGAAATTCAACTCCCTGCAGATACACAAATGAATTGCATCTGTGAATTGCATTGTGTGGCCTCTGAGTATGTAACGCGCACTCGAGGGTTACTTTCATTGGTGTATTGCTTCAGGAAACCCCACGACAAAGGGGGTAGAGGGTGGACGAGGGGAAGGGCTATGGGAACCCCATGTTCGTGACTCACTGAGGGATTCACGCGTAATCGTTCCTACATCAGGGCGAAAACCTCGAAATCCCCTAGTAAAAAAGTCGAGACGATTCACCCCAAGAGTTTCACCGGTTTTCAACATGCAGTGGTCAAAGAGGATCCGGGGAGGTTTTAGCTTTAATTCTCAATGAGACAGATTTTTTTCTGAATGGCTCGTGAAATTGCCCCACGCAATTCAAAGGATATCGTAGAGTCGGAATTCAAAGTTGAAGACTGTTAAAAAACATTTTAATAAATTTTATTTTATTCTGCATTTTTTTGCGGGTTCAAATTGAATTCGATTCGACCTCAAATAATTGAGAATTCAGACATGTTAATTTCAAGAAATTTTTCGAATTGGGTAATTAAAAAGTATTTTGAATGGTCTGATGCGTGGGTACTGAGACTCATGTATTTACACGTGTTTTCACGTTCAATGGCCCATTGCAGACATGGGTGAAAATACTCGTCTCCGAGTGCGTGCATTGACCAAATCAATAGTATTCTCACGCTACCGACGAATTATTCCTTCACCAAGTAGATAAACTTCCGTCTGGGCTTTTAACGGCTGGCTTTCTGCGCATTACACGTACATTTTTAGCTTCTGAATGTATCTCGTGACCTCTTCCAAAGGGGCACAAAGAGCGCCCTGATAAACTTCCAGCTTCAAACAGCTCTCGTACTCTTTGTGAATGCGTAAAATACCCGCGTATTTACGGAGCTCATGTCTCTTATCCCCGGATTTCCATGAAAAAAAATATACGAGATGAAAAATAGACTTTTATCATTGAGATTTGGGTGGAGCTGAGACGGTAAACCTTCAAGCAAATAGATCTGCTTCTAATCAATCATTGTCATTGTTCAATAACTTGCTGTACCTCACAATGGCCAAGCCTTTGTATTCTTACGTATTATATTTTTTTTTCATGCGCTCAGACTCTAACTGGGAAATTGCGTTTGCAATTGTCCACGGTCAATTAACCACTCTGACAATCGTTGGGCACGCAATTTTGCCCCCTTGAGGAGGAAGAAGCGCCACTGTGTCTGCACATGTCTCTGTACACTTCGTTTCACCTTCAATTTACCAATGTTTTTTGCGCTCGTTACAGATCCACACCTAAATAATAATGAAAAAGACAAAAAAAGTTCGCAAGACAATTCACGGACATTAACTTCACAATTTTCCGCAAACTATTCTTTCCCTTTTTATTTTCTCTCTATTCCTCTACTCAAAGATTGGTGAAGATCTGTACCGATCTGTTTTTCTAATTATAAATATTTTTAATAGAATAAAATTGGGATTATATTGTATGAATATTATATGGATATGTGGAAATATCAGTGTAAATACTGTGACTAGGCCAGACACTGTCGGTACAATCTTATTTTAGTACTTTGTTTGACAGCCTAGACACTAATAATCTCACTTCCCTCCGTCAACAATTTCAAGGTTCAATACAACGAAATCTGGAAACCCCTGATATTCTCATTCCTCGTCTATTATTTTTTCACGAAAATCTTGGGCTGTTATCGATCGGCAGATAATCTCATAAATGGATTTTAATAAATTGGCTAACGAATCTCCTGAACTCTCAATTAAATCATCCATTCACTACTTTTGTTAATGATTTTTTTTTATTGATTTCCCTCGGAAACTATGAATTCCAGGTGAAAACATTAAAATACTTTTCTTCAACTAATTAAATCTCCGACAAAAAAAGTATCTTAACATTTTCTTCTATAATCAATAGTTTATTGATAAATTGATATAGAATAGGAGTGCAAAATTCTATTTATCTCAGCCCACTCCTGCTGAACAGTTATCGAAATCAATCGATATTCAATAAAAATTCGGCTTATCCCCGTTGACTGCTGATTCTCGTGCCTTGGAACCCAATTAGCCATTCGGAGATTGAACCCGAGCCTTCCAATCAGACCTAATATCGCGACGAAGCGATTGAAGGCCCTTCCCACAGCATGCCACATCACATTCGATCTATTTTCATCCTTGAGCTTGAAATAACGACAATGTTTAATCACAGCCCAGTTAGATAGAGTTAAAAGAAAATTCAAAGTACGTATTGTCCGGAGAGGGCTGTGGAAAGGCTTCCGTTTACTATGCGGTCAAGTTAACGCTGTGTCACCACTCGTGCGTGCAAAGTATATTCTGATTAACCTTTAACCGGAGCATTTAATTAACGAGTTTCCCTTCCATTCTAGGAGATTCTCTGCAATGCACACCACTGGACAGAGCCTACAAGAGTAAAGTTCTTGGGCATTACCCAGACAGTGTGCCCTGGAATCCATTTGACGAACATGCTGTGTGCATGGTAACTACCAATTCAAATGATTCATTATTTTCATTATTAATTCATGAATAAAGGAAATTGGATAATTGAATACAATTGCCCAATTTTTAATAATTTTTTCTTATAAAATGAAATCCTCGACTTGCAGCTATGTCTCCCAAGTGGTCTGCGCTTTCGCACGCAAAAACACTCGGTGGAGCCGTCATTCCACTCGTTCGTCCTCACGAAAGAGGATGGCCGTCGAACGTATGGCTTCAGCCTGGTGTTCTACGAGGAGTGCCGCAATCGTAAAATCTGTGCAGCAATGCAAACACTCCAGGCAATGTTCATAACCGAATTGAGCAGCGGTCAGAATGGTACACCACCAGCTCCAAGACGTGGCCAAGACAGCCACAACACCCGATCCCTTCCCCGTCACTTCAAACTCTCAGCCCATTCCCCAGGTGCCGCTCTGGCCTACTACGACTCCACAAAAGACAAACTATTGGTGACAAAGTCAATATCACTAATCTGCCAGCAGCCCTACCTAAACGCAGCCAAAACATTCCTGACGAATCTTTACAAGTGTGTTCCTCGTCATCCAGGCCCTGGCCTCAGCCTCGAGTCCTACGTCTACAATCTCCTGTACAACGTGCCTGTTCCCCTTCCAGGTAAATCCCTCAAGTTTTTCGTTCCAAACGACGAACCAGCGAAGTCCCCCCTGGAGCTGTTCCTCCTCTACCCCAATCTCAGTACCGATCTCCCTCTCCTGGACTACTCCATCAAGGACATGTTCACCTGGTTGGGGCCAGAGTGCGTGCTCCAGCTGTTCACCTGTGTATTACTGGAGAATCAGGTGCTCCTGAGGAGCACAGATTTTCACAAACTCATGGTTGTCGCCGAGTGCATCACAGCTCTTCTATTTCCCTTCTCCTGGCAGCATGTGTACGTACCAATTTTACCAGTGAGTCTTCATCATTTTCTCGATGCACCTGTCCCCTTCATCATGGGCCTTCATGCCCAGACTGAAGGTAGTCATCTCAAAATAGCAAGTGAGGCTAATCTCTGTTACGTCGACATCGACAAGCAAACGAGTCAGTTTCCTGAAGAGCTCCCTGTCTTCCCCAGGAAGATGCAATTTCTCGCTGAGATAAGGACACTACTGAATAAGTACAAAGTACCACATAATGAGAAGACTGAGAGCATGGTCATTAATTATCTCAGTGGGGATATCATGACAAGCAGCTTGACGTTACCACCTGGCTCGGGTTTTCATGTGCCCAGGAGAAAACATTCTCTTCATGACGTACTCGATTGGGACAGGGACGAGGTTGGCCCCAATTCTGATGCACTCCAGAGGATTGTGGATATTGTTAAAAAGACTGGGATTAGTCTAGATGACATCGACTCTGTCGAGAATATGGGAAAGGACAAGGACAAGGTACTCAGCCCTCAGGAGGAGTACAGGGAGACACTGATTTTTAATAATGCTGTCAGGGAAATTTTTCTCAATCGCTTTGTGCATTTGTTCTCTGGGTATGATCACTTCGTCATTCATCCCAGTCAGGATAAGGACGAGTGGATGAATAATCGGGACAGCATGCATGTCTTTGATAAAGCTACTTTTCTCAGTGATCAACCTGCCCAGCATCTACCCTTTTTGTCGAGATTCCTGGAGACACAGATGTTCGCTTCGCTGGTGGATAACAAGGTGATGGCTTCCTGGAATGAACTCGACTGCAATGGCAAGGTCTTCGACCAGAGGATCTCGCAGATAAAGTGAGTGTTTATTTTCTGGGACTATTTGTTTTTTTATTATTACATTATATCTGGTGCGGAAATTCGCGGTTAACGTGTATATCTGTTCAATTCGCGGATTTTGTAATGTGCCAGAAAAAAGGGAGGAGAGGGAATGCTGAGGACAACAACTTATGAAGTTACGACGACTGTAGGTGAGACACAAAGACTACTGGAACATAGACTGAATAACGTGGACTTTGAAGCTAGTCCTCCAACTGAGATCGTACCCCATAGGGCTGCCTATTTCAGGAGTTTTCCATTGCTGGATGCAACAGCCCTGAATAAAGAGCCCGCGCAGAGGTAATCATCATTAAAAATTCACTAACAAAATAATAAAGCAAGATATCTCGAATTTATCTCGAAAGCTATCGATTTCAGGTGAAAGAGTAAATATAATTTTTCGGATCAATCGGTATTTTAAGATCTCTAGAATTCGACTTATCCAATTTTACCACTTTAACACTGAATTATTCGACTGGAAAAAAAATGTCAATAATATATCAACTAATTCACTAACTCATTTTATCTTTAATCGCTTCCGACTACAGTATACTCCGGTAAGCTCTAATAATCCTGTTAGATGTCTGTGAAAGTTTGCTCGACTCCAATCGAGATTATCGGTGAAAATTGAAATTTGTTTTATCCTCGCAGCAGTAGAAAAGGTCAGACACAGTGGAAATACAAGATGAAATCGATCGAGACGAATGGCAAGCCGCCCACAGCCCCCCATCAGGAGACCCAGTCCCCAAGACCGCAGACAAAATTGTCAGCGGACATGAGTCCAGCTCTGATTGCCCAAGCAAATTGGACATTCGTGGAAAAATTGCTGAAGGTAAATATATTCATTGAATTGTATTTTTGGCTGTGAAAGAATGCGCTGCTATTTTCTTTCCCATTGAGCATCAATTCATGTGCATTTATCACTAGCGACAATAATGCAAATTAATAATTATTGCGTGGGGGAAAAAAATTGAGGAAATATTACGCGGAGACGAGAGATGTAAAAAAGGCATAAATAAAGGTAATTAATTAATTACTGATTAACTAATTGGAGCACAATTTATTCGTCAATTCCAGGACTGCAAGTCGAAGACAAAAAGGATGCTCGTGGAGAAGATGGGATCGGAGGCAGTTGCCCTTGGTCATGGAACAGAATCCCTCGTGGATGTTGAGGAGAATACTCTGGTCGCGAGTCTATGTGATTTACTGGAGAGGGTTTGGAGCCATGGACTGCAGAATAAACAGGGAAAAAGTGCTCTTTGGACGCATCTGTCTATGTACCAGGAGCTGGAGGAATGCAACGACTCAGCCAAGTCAATTGATCCACACTTTTTATCGCCTGGTGAGTGCCAAGATTGTTCTCGGATATTCTGATAATTCATCATCTCTAATTCATTCAGGAAGGATTTTCCACGGATGAATACTTTTTTCCATTTGTTGATCTATCCCCCGCGATGAGTGACGTTAGGAGGAAATCCAAACGTTTCTCCCACTTTTTGTGAGATATTTTTTGGGTACAAAAAGACTTCTTGGCATTTCCTCCTAAAACCACTCGACAATCTTTCTCTGCAGTCATTGTTGAGATTTTTTCTGGATAAAACCCTCTGTTTCTATTCCCCTCGCTTTATTGCTTCCATTGTTTGTAGAAAAAGGAAAAAATGATAGGAAACTAAAAATGAAATTGAATACTTTCCACAGAAGACATCTCAATATTATAATAATACTCAAAATATCCAAATACCCATGAGGTAAATCGAGAAGTCGAATTTCATCGATTTATCTTACTTCATCATTTCGCTACTGAATAGTACGAAGAGGAAAAAAGTTTCAGTATTTTTTCTGTGGAATTCCTTTCGTACGTCTTGAATGAAGCTCACTATTCCTGAATGAATGATCGATTCTACTTCGTTCACCGTAAAATATAATTAACACGACTTGAAAATATTCAGAACGAAATAATCTCCAATTTGGAAAGAGTAAAGATGTAACTAATGGCAGTGTTGTATGCATTTCGGAAACGCAGCGCTAGCTTGGTGCGTGCTACGGAAGCGGCTTGACTGTACGTCAATTATGCAAATTCAGGAAAAGAATACGTTATTTATGTTAAAGTAGCACTGAAGAGTGATATTTACCAGCACAATCGTCGTTTTCACTCGTATTCATTCGTTCGTTGTTATTTCAAGCAATGTAGCGCTTTCTAATTGCACTATTCGTTCATTATCCCACCACCGACTATTTTCTGTTTATTATTTCAGTTTATTTTTCTGTTTTTATTTTTTTTATTTATTTATTCTCCTCAATAGCCCCGAAAACACCCTCGAATAAAACGCCGACGAAACCGTACAGCTTAAGGGACCGACTGGTATCAACGATTAAAACGAGAAATATTTACGAAATAGCTTCTTATATCAAGGACAATCTTAATGGTAAGCCGTTGACTTGGCTTGCCAGAAAAATGGATTTATTTATTGAGGGGAAAAGTCGTCTTTATTGCATTTTCATTTATTCGATTGCTACCCTTTTATCTTCTCCGTTTTGTCGTCTATTTTTTTTTTTTTGGTTCTGTTTTTATTTCCTTTCCACTGAGAGGGAGATATGGATTTATTTCAATCGTTAATAAACATTAGTCAATAAAAAGAAATAATAACAATATAATTATAGTAATGAATAATAATAATTGATAATATTCTTCGCAAGTTATCAATTCAAATTATACGAGCAAATTATTTAGAGAGTGTAAAGTTCGTGTTTCCTTTTCGGAGATGTGAAAATCAAATTATTGAACAAATATTGATGATGGAAATCCATACTCCTCTAGTTTCCCTTCTTTTTTTTTATTTTCGTTGTGGTTTTGTATTGTATTGCAGTATTTACTCTGTCTGAATGCAAAAATTGCACGAGGCATGTTCAACGTGTGTGTTCTCTCGATTTTGCCTGCAATGCGACCTCCGAGCCGGGTTTTTCACACTTTTATATTTTCAGATTGAAATCCACGAGTTTCATACATCCTCTTTCGCACGTTCTTGTGTTATACAAACGGGGGAAAAAGCCGACAGGCAATGTTGTGTGAATATTTGAATGGTACATCGAAAATGAAACGTTTCAACCACTCGGGTGAATTTCACACGTTTGAACGCCCCATGGTTGTGAATTAGACTAAATATTTAACAGCAGCGCAAATTACGTGGAGTTAATGACGTGAGAGTAATGAGAGCTATGGGAGAAAGTTTTACGTGGCTGTACGATTTTTTTTTTAATTTTGCGAATGTTAAAAAAAAGTTAATACTACAAAATTACTTAATTTTCGGATCAAATTATAGGAGTGGATTCTAAATTTTTTATTTTGCCTTTTTGGTCAAGACAGATGATCTTATGTGAAAAAATAAGAAAAAGTGGAAAGAGATGTATGAAACTCATGTATATAAATCCAGAGGATACCCAAGTGTGTAAAAAACCTGGAGAAAATGTATCTCGTTAAACTTGGGCTTCTGAAAAATCTAGATTTATCGAACTTGGCCTTGGAAACGGATGTATCACCGACCCGAGGTGGTGACCGACGTTCGACAGGGGAAAGAAAATCCATCGGTCCTGAACACCTCCGCCCACTCCCGGACTCTCTGACCTTTGACATCCGAAATATTCAGGCTATGACTGAAATAAAAACGCACATTGGATATGCACGCGCTTGGGTTCGTCTCGCTCTTGAGAAAAAACTGCTGTCCCGACATCTCAAGACTCTGTTATCGGACACAGCACTGCTAAGGTAAGACATCTCGTGTTCCTCAAGCTCATCAGGTAACCCAACAGTGGAATTTAGGGGGAGATAACATGAGTAATTCACACGCGGATTGTTTTATAAACGGAAAAAAATCTGGATAAAAAGATGTAATGGAATACCATCCAATGTCCCATTGAAATCACTCATTTCTCCGATCAATAAATATTTAAGAACTTATAAAAGTCGATTTATCTGACTTTGCCACATGGTAATTCAATTCCAGGAGTCAATACAAGCGATCAGCCTTTCTGCGCTGCGAGGAAGAGAAAGAGCAATTTCTCTATCACCTGCTTACCCTGAATGCAGTGGATTACTTCTGCTTCACGAACAACTACCCGACGACGAAGCTGCCGTATCGAGTGGTAATATTCCCCAGCAGAAAGGCGAGTGCAGCGACAACGTCTGCCAACAGTTGGGTCGCGATGTCGGGGACCCTCTGCGAGACAAATCCAGTGCCCATTCCGAAGGGCGCCCTGGAGTTTGTCTTCCATCACAAGAACCTGGGGGTGTTGTCAACCCTGCGAATTGGTCACGACAACACTGGTCTATCACCCAAGTGGATGGTGGAGCACGTGGTGGTGAGGAACGAAGTGACAGGTCACACCTTTAAATTCCCCTGTGGTAGGTGGCTTGGTCGAGGAATTGACGATGGATCCACAGAAAGACTGTTAGTGGGGGCACTTGTCCCCAGAAGTATTGACAGCGATGAGCTCGTGGAAACTTGCTCCACACCCCCTAGATGTCGATCCCCAAGCATTCCCAGACGTCCAACACTCTCCCCTGATGAGCTGCAGCACATGCTGGGGGAGGCTGTAAATGCTATCGTCAAGTTTCATTACAGGAGGGATCACCAGGATGGCTCTCTCACTGCCCTACTCTGTGGAGAGGGTGGTCTCGTGCCCTCTCTGGAGCAGACATTCCTATATGGATTTAAAAACCAGAGGATCTTTGGGAGAAATTTTTACGTCTGGGATTATCTGCTTAGGGTCAAGGAGAACTTTGAAATGTCCCTCCTCGAGGAGATGGATGAGTACTCCAAGAGAATCAACAGGGACCGGAGGCTTCATCATACTGAGAACAACCAGAGGTTCACTATACTCAGGTGCTATTGCCATTTGATTGACCAGATTAATACTTTCAGTCAGACTCTGGGCAAGGACGGAAAGTTCCAGCTGTTCATCTGCTTATCTGCTCGGTGAGTTCATACTTTTTATTTATTTATGTATTATTAAGAGATTATCATCATTTTAATTTTAATTATCCATTTTTCAATTAAATTGAATTCTAATAATCGAAACGCAAGTCAATTTCTGCGAAGAATATCATTTTGTTGTACATGCCGCATCCAAGCAAAACGATATTAATGTGCAGTTGTCGTTGATTTCATTCAGCTTGGATGAACAGAAAAAAAAAGACGAGGGCCGAGGGGAGAATTCATTTCAGTCCTAGTTTTCTCTCGTGATGACCTCGTCACAGTATTAATTCTTCATTGCTCAAATGGAGACTAATGAACACGATTTAAATTGCCCCTCTGTGCATTCGTTTGTCGTAGAAAAATGATTGAAATTGTTTTTATAGTGGAATGGATGGTCTTTTTTTTTCTTAGAGAACAATTGCTTCACCCAATGCTTCGGCCTATGAGTGAAGCTCGTTCAACAGCGGAAATGTATGAGGAAACTTCGTTCCTGAGGAATCCAAGCCTCTTGCACTTCCTCATTCACATTTTGGAGCCCCTCAGTGAATTCCACATCGTCCTTGAAAAGAGTCTGACCCACGGGATCTCGAGTATATGTTAAAGTTTGTACAATCGTCTCACCTAGTTTAACGTTATTTTTAACGAGTTACCTGACGAATTACTCGGGTTAATGTAATTAGCTCGAGTCATGAGATTCTTGCCGCATTTTTTTCGGAGAGATGTTGTCGTAGAGGCGGAGAGAATTAAATGTTTGTAGATAAGGTTGAAATTGTAGTTTCTTGGATATTGTGGAGAATTTTCTCAAACCGCGTAACCGCTGTTCCAAAGGACGAGAGTTGTGTTGGAAGATCTTATGAAGCCTTTATTCATTTGTAATTCAATTGTGTGAGGAAATTATTTTGGCATTTCTCTGGAATTTCGTTCAATATAAGATCGTATGGACGTAATTTTGTAATTAATCATTCAAATTGAATCAATAGAGTGATAAAGGAGAAATTTATTTCATACGATTTTCCTCCACAACTTCCAGAAATATACAAAGACGTAAATTTTACCAAAGATATTTATAACGCTATTATTCCATTTACTGTTGATAATTGTTTTAATCGTTTCGATTTTTTTTTCTTACGAAAAACCTCGATTGTGATTTATCATCATTTACATGACATTAGATGATACTCTTTGTTTTTTTTTTTTCGTTGATGTACATATGTACGTGGAATTAATGTGATTTGATTTCTTTATTTTGAGGGCCAGTTTTCGTTGAGTCAGCTGTGGTTAATTCGCAGTTGAAATTAAATCTAGAACCCCGACTTTTCTCCCGCGTCATGGGAATGATTTTCCATATTGCGGTTGACTTAACGAAAAACCTGCCCTGAATTATGAAAAACCAGCAATTGTTATTTTCAGTTGTTCCAAGTTCAATTTACCCTGTGATGTACTATTCTCGAGAAATATTTCATCATAGTTTATCTTTTTTGTACGTTTTAATTATCTCTCGTAATTGAAGTGTTCAATGGACAAATACTAAATACCTCTTGAATATTTATTATCGATAAAGACAAAAAGATGGAATAATGAAATTTTTATCTGCCATATTACGTAATTTTTTTTTTTAATGTAATAGTGAGAGTTAGATTATAATGCAATTGTCCAATTGCGAATCATAGATTACATGTGCTGGAGGGTCAATAATTTTAAGTCCTTTATTTGTTGATTTTACATTTCGAAATATTTTAATTCAACACCTGAATGTTTCCTCGTAATGTCAATCAACAAATTAGTGATTGCACTGTCAGATATCCAATAGTGCAATAATAATTTTCAAAGGAAATAAAAGATGGTACTCGAAATAGACTCAAGGCCCTCCGAGTCACACCCACAATAATTAGACCAAAGTAGATGAATTATTGTTTAGATCTTCAGCAGAACCATGTCACTAGTTGCTTGAGATGTATATAAATGCTGATACATAGGACTGCGCACACTCTCCAAAGCTGAATATACTGGAAGTATTGAATGCCAAGAAAAAATAATATATCTACTATGTAAAAATCACTCGTCCATTAAATAAACTGTTCAGGACCAATCAGGAAAATGTTCAATCACAAAATTGATCCACCGATCCACCGATAGAATAGGATGTACATAATTGAAGTCACAGATAAATAAAGAGAAATATTTGGAGTCAATGTAATCAGTTGGAAGAGAAAAAGTAACTCGTAGGATTATGTTATGTATATATAAGAATTTAAAGGTCGCGAAATATACCTGAAATAAAGATAAATTAAAAAATACCCACATGCAATCATTCATTTTTTTTCTCACTATTTTTTAGGAAAGGAAAGGATCATTCTAATCTGATTGCAACTGCACGATCCTTATTATCTTATTTTAGGTGAAAGAAAACTAGATAAATATTGGAATATCATGAAGTCAAAGGAAATCCCGGAGAAAATATCCCAGGGAAAAAATATCCCACGCATTAAAAACGTGTTAAAACTCGCTTAATTTAATTATTTTTTAATTTAATTATTTTTTTCGTTATCTATTTTTTCAGGGACTCTAATTTTCCTATGGTCTATCAAATTGGGTGGGTTTTAACACGTTTTGGGTGTGTCGGCTATTTTTTCCAGGGATATTTTTTCCGCCTACAAGTCAAAGGTGATATCATATCATATCTAAACAAATACAGAATCATTCCACAGAAAATAAAAGTATTTCTCTTATCGAATTGCTCAATACTTCTACTTCTACTGTTCTTACTCATTATCTTTCGATTACAGAATCATTTTTATACCGCTTTATAAGTGAAATAGACATTCCAACGCGATAATTTCAGTCTTCGGTATTTTCAATAATCTCCATGATGACTATATTCACAAAAATAATTTCTGTATACTAGAAAAAATTTTATCAACTCTAGAAAAAATGTTCTCGTATCAAATAAAAATGTTTATAATGTGTAGTCTTTAAAGATAATGATTCTAAAGTGCGCATGAGATTTTTCCGTCAACTCGAGCGGTCCCCCCTATCCCTACGATTCGCGTCACTCCACCGAGAGTTTATAATGATCGTCACTATCATCTCCGCAGTATTCCGGGAAACAGTGAAACCAACGCAATGCAATTCTCTATTGCTGCATTGATAACGAGTATTTGCGCGTTATGCGGAATTTTTTTCATTTGGGCGAAGTGGAAGTTGACGTACTGGCAGAGACGGGGTGTTCCGACCCTTCCGACAAATTTATTTTTTGGAAATTTCGCGGATTCAATATGCGGTAGAATATCCCCGGGATGGCTTCTCGGTCGACTCTACAGTCAAGCCGAGCCAGGATCAAAATTCCTCGGCATCTATATCTTCCAGCAGCCGTTTTTCCTCCTGAGAGATCCTCAACTCATCAAGCAGATGTTCATCAAGGATTTCAACGTCTTCTCCGGCCGCTACTTTGCACCGAAGAACAGCCGAGATAGGATAGGAACTCAGAATTTGTTCTCCATTGATAATCCTGAGTGGCAACACCTGAGGCACAAGTTGTCTCCAGCATTTTCTTCTGGAAAACTCAAGGGATTGTTTGGACTCATGGTAGAATCCTCGGAATCCCTCGCAACGCATTTGGAAAATCAATTCAAAAATCATTCAGGGGGGAGGAAGTGTATCGAAGTTAAAGACGCCACTACCAGATACACCACTGATATTATTTCGTCGTTGGCATTTGGAGTGCACACCAATTCTTTTGAGAAATCAGCCTCGGAGTTCTACACTCGAAGTTAGAATTTTTTAAAATTTTTTTTCATAAATTCATTTTTTCGTATTGAAATATTTTTGCAGGTCGACAGTTATTTGCGGACGACCTCATCTCGGCGATCGCAATATTTTGCTTGGGATTCTTTCCACGTGTATTCGAGCATTGTTTATTTACAACCTTCCTTGGACAACAAACAACATATTTTAAAAATATGTTTCGAAGTTCAATGAAGGCCAGGGAGGATACCAAGTCCGAGAGAGGAGACATCATGGATACTCTGGTGAAATTGAGGCATGAGAACGATGATGGCCCTTTCAGTAATTCCCAAACATCTGATTTAAATATTTATTTCATACCGAAGAACATTTATGAACATACTCATATTTTTATTTTATTTAGAATTCGACGAGGAGACACTTATGGCCCAGTCATGTCTCTTCTTCGTCGCTGGATTAGAAACGAGTGCCACAACCATGGCATTCGCTTTGTGGGAACTAGCAAAATCTCCGGATATTCAAGATCGCGTGAGAAATGAAATAATTGAGAAGCTTGAAGGTGGTGAATTGACTTACGAGAAGGTCAAGCAGATGAACTACCTCATGCAAATTATCAGTGAAACCCTCAGAATTTATCCACCCGCACCGATACTCGATAGAGTTTCCAACAGAGACTATCAGGTATTCCGAAATCATTTCATAATTCCAGAACAATAACAATATTTTATTTTTTAGATTCCAGGTACTGATGTAATAATCGAACGAGGAACTCCAGTATACGTAGCTCTTCCTGGAATTCATATGGATCCTGATTATTTCCCAAATCCCGAAGAATTCGATCCCGACAGATTTAAGGATGAGCGAAATCTCAAGTCGTGCACTTATATGCCCTTCGGCGAAGGACCTCGCATATGCATAGGTAATATTAATATTATTATTTTAATATTTTAATTATTGAATTTTACTGTACAACTTTCTACCGAAATTCTTCAATCAATTTCGGTCCGATCTTTCAGGTATGAGAGTTGGGAGTCTGCAGACAGCTGTAGGTTTAATCAGAATGCTCCAGAATTATCGATTTTCGGTAAATCCATCCCACGAAGCGAGAGTTTGCAGACGTGGCATCTTCCTCAAACCGGAAGACGGTGTCCACTTGTATTATGAAAAAATTAGCAACTCGTAATAATAGAAATTATTTCTGCATTTTGCTTTCCTCTGTGTGTCCGAATTTTATATTCATTTATGATTCATTTATGAGTTTATGAGTTTAGTGTGATTTTAATTTGAGTGTGAAAACTATTTTCTGAAAATTTTAATAAATTGATAAATTTTACAATTATTTCATTTTTACGTGTGCATTTAAATTGATATAATTTAATAATTTGTGACTATTTGAAATATATCAGGTAATCATTTGCTTTTTCAATCGCTCGTTTTCTTTGGTAAAAATAAAATCTAGGTTTCCCTTAAAAATATAAAAATAGAAACAATTACTTTGGTTGTATAAAATACCAATACTTTATTCTCAATCGACTATGCGCAAATCGTTAACGCACATTGATATGTACAAAAGTGTTTTGGGTTCTACATATTACATGTTTTCTGGTTATCGTTAAAAAATAATTATAGGATTAAAGTATGCTACATTAAAAAAAAATATTTATTGTGATTCCAGTGGCTAAAATCGTGCCTTTGCGATCAGACGATAATCGGGAATCTTGTGAACATGTTTTTTTGCGAGTTTTGAGGTATATCAGTTATTTTCAACGGCAGAGAATGAAAACACTTGTGACAATATTGTGTCTCTGACTTCCAAAAAAAAAATAGTGATAAAAATTCCATTCGTCGTTGAACATTCCGACTTCTAGCATTGTATAGGAGAAACTAAACGGAATTTACAATTCAGGCGTTAAGTTTGTTGTGGAGCGATGGAAAACGACGAGTCTGAAAAATATTCTGTAATTATTTCGCGAATATCATCGATGCAACGAGTTCAGGAAGTAATTGCATTACCAACTCGCTCATTCCCGGGATAATCGTAAAATAATCTTCAAAAAGTAACGAATTTCGTGAAAATGAGAGGTTTAGAAATCCTCATCATTTCCAGAAATATTCTCTCATTAAAAAATAAACAGCTTCTTCTCCTCCCACTCCCCAATTCGACCAGAATCTTCGGAATAATCATAAAAAGCAAAAAAAAAAACAATTTTCTTCCGTAGCACATTCTCATTTTTATAAAAATGATAATAAACGCAGAATAATTCATTTAACAAACGCAGAAAAAAAATACAATTGAAATCAGTAAATGACAACACGTAAATGCATTGTATCTCTTCGAGTTGCTCAACCAGTACTCTTATGCTACCTCGCTCCTAGATTGTACTACAATTTGGTTATTGACAACGTAATCTATCTAGATAAATTCATTCATCAATGCAGGGCGACGAAGACGACGTATCTCATTGACTAAAGAAAAATGATGAGAAAATTTCCAACGATTCGATTCTATGTTACACTTTTTATAAAATTCGTCGTCCACCCATTTTTTTTAAGTACTAACCAGTTTTTTCCAGGCACTGAACGTTCCGCTCAATGAACCAAGAAAACCCTTCAGATCTTGCCGGCATAATCACCCCAATTCGTTCATACACTTCCATACACTTCCTCCCTATTTTGTTCATCTATCTTACATCCTTAAAAACGAGAAGAAGATTCATTCGATGAGAACATCTCCACCATAAATATTTACAAAACGGAATCCCCAGGTTCCCAACAAGACGTTCACAAAAAAGAAATTAAATTTTTTTGTTTTTACAAATATATATATTAACGTGGACTGATAAATTTCCACGGGATTTTCACTGCACAGGTGGCAAAAGAGAAATAAATCCGCTGACAAATTGAAACTTCTCTCTTGCACTCGCATCTCTCATATTTTCCTCCTTATTCCTCATTTTTTCATAAAAAAATACATGTTTCATGAAACACTCACTCTCTCACACACATGCTTCCACACTAGATCAACACGTTCTTTTTTTTCGGAGGTTCATTGTTACAACTCGACTTAGAGATCCGAAATAAAACGAAAGCATCACTCCTCTATACAAATAAAAAAAAAATAGATGCATTAATAACTAAACATTAGCAGTTTCTGTAAACATAAAAAATCCTCTTCACATATGTACAAAAGGCTAAATGACTCGGGTATGACTATATGTATTCATTCTTACTATAACTTGTATCTCCTCCCTACCTATAAACATATTTTTCGCTCTATTATCCCCTCTCAATCGTCAAAAAATTCGTGACGCAGAATAATTACTATCGTTTTACCTGTATCTCGTTCTGGATGTAAACGTAAAAAGTAATCATTCGTTTTATACTAAAAATTAAGTGTAGCGTAAAGCGTATTGCATTGCCTTCCCCCAGAACGTCCCAGTACTTTATTATCAGCGTTTCATCGAAAGAGAGTCGATAAAAAATTTCGATTTAATCGATAATAGTGAATGATAAAAGACGAATTAGTCAACTTCACTATAGAAATTTCATGAGACGTTGGCATTCTCCTCTAGGCGTTCCAGACTCCCTCGAGGTATCTCGTACTTTTATCCAGGACTCCTCCATTAACTTGGTGGAGAGAAATTGAAACAAGAGCTCCGATTTCATGATAACACCGAGCCAGGGCTCAAAAATGGACATCCCTCACGTCAGTTGGGGTTCCTGCTTTCTCATGCTCCATCATTTTGTCCTGGCTCGTGTTCTGTTCCCCCAACGGTCTTGTTGGTGCACTCGTTCCGATTGTACTTGTTGTTGAAGACTGGTGACTTGTGGTTCTCGCCTGTGCCACCATTTCTTCAATCTGTTCGAAGCATCCCTGCAGGTAATCCTGAAAATATAAATTACCTATTTATATTTACCGATCTCTGTACAAATCGAAATTAAAAGTGACGATTTCTTTAAAATATATATTTTTTCAACTGGAACTGATTGGCACAAAATTTTTTGTGTGAGCATGCAGTTTTCAAGTGATTTCTACTCATTTGTGGAATTCCTAGAGATAACGAGGAAACGAGAATAATTCTCTGTTTAAAATAATGAGAGTTTCCTTATTTTTATGGAATTCTCGTCTGCCATTTAATTGGAATGTGTCTCCTTTAGATAATTTCTGCAAATAATATTTTTTGAAAATCCACCGCAAGTCGTTTCGAAGAACATTCTGTTCTCCATTATTTCTAAATTCATGTGATATTGCATTGAATTTATCCGGAATTCTCAACGTCAAAGGGATCGTAGAGATAATGAGCCAATGAGAATGACTTTGAATACAAAATAATTTGAAGGGCTCGTAACATCATTTAATGAATTGTTGAGAAATGTTTGCAATTTTGCAATGGCTGAACGATGAAAAAGATAAAAATTCTAAACTGAGTGAGAAATTGATACGATTATCGTAATTAATAAATTGTCGAGGGAGAATTCCACTGGCTCGAGTAATTTTTAATGGAGGATGTTGGAAAAAAAAAGTAAGATCAATAACGAGAAGATAATCAACTTTGTGGCGAGAAAATTAAACGAACCTGTTCAATGGCAGTGATGCGGGTGAGCTCATCGAGCAGTCCAGAGAGTCCATAACCACTTTTTCCCGTCCAATCGAGCCCATGAAGAGCCGCTGCAACGCTTGCCGCTGCAATCATGCTGGGTGTGTACATGGAAAACTTGTACTCTGAAAATAAAACCAATAGAAAATCGTTAAAATCATGAATGCTAATGGGTTTAAAGGTACCGAGGAGAAGGCATTGACCGAGTGGTGACGAAGAAATAAAAAAAATACCACTCGTCTGGTGCAAGTGAATGCTCGAGATAAGAGAAGAATGCGATAAGACAATTTAGGGTGTATCCTTGAAACTTTTTATTACCTCTTCACCATGAATTGTGTAATTTTGCACTTGAGAGCCGATTGCACGAAATAAAGAAATTCAACGGAGAATTTCAATTTGACTTTTCAACTGCGAATTATCTCGATAAGATTACGAGTGGTAGGGGGAATGTTTCGAGGACTTTCCCCAGGTGCCCACGAGCTATCGGGATAATTACAAAATTAGCCATGACGAAGAGGTAAAAGTTGTCGGCGAGGGATTCTATCCTTTGTGGGGATTTGAAAAAAATCATCGATGTGCAGAAAAAAATATTTTCTCACCTCTGGCACTGAGGGCGATGAATGTCTGTGCGTGTCTTCTGACCATGAGTGAGTCCCACGCCAAAGAATCAATGGGCAGACGACTCAGTATGTGAAGAAGAAAGTCACCGGGTGTTACTGCTGACAGTTCCCACTTGAGTTTCGATACAACGAGCTGTTCCCACCTCTGCAAAAAATTCAATAAACAATCCTCATTAGGCCATTTGAAAATTTACCTAATTACTTAAAAATAAATATGTTCAGAACTAAGAGACATGGTCTGCAGAAAAGTTTAATAGAAAAAATATTTTTCTCCCATAGTTTGGATAAAATATAAGAATCCCGCAATTTTTATTAATAAATTGTAATTTCGCACGATTGGTGACGTTTTTTCTTTGATTTGTTTTTTTAATGGTAAATTTTCATGTGGATATTGAAGACGTCTGAGGAACTAAGGGGATGGATGTTACGATACCCCAGTGCCCTCGAGGTAGATGGTCGACTCGAGTTAAGATCCTGGGATTTTACTCGAGCGTGTACGCAGCGTACCGTGCACTACGTACCCAGAGAGAGAAAGCAAATGTGTAAAAAGTGTAGACCAGGGGAAACCGAGGAAGATGGAGACGAAGGCACCGTTGCCTCGTGAGCGTGACTCCCCCCTTTGTTTCATTCACTCCATCGCTCTATTTACAGATAACTTGGGGGCATATGAGTGTGGATACTCAATTTCATGCGATTAACTTGGAAAAAAACGTTCAAACAATAATCATTCCTTGGAAGCATTGATATTCGGAGAAGTTATGGTTGGTACGTGCTTGTCATGTAATGCACTGGATAAACATGGAATTCTCCATGAGGTGATCTTGAGGATTTAAATGAAGGGGCACGTGGGCCCACACAAATTGGGGAATTAAATGGCGATGCATCCCGAAATACAAAAATATTTTATCCTCGCAGCTATGAGGAATTTTTGGAAATTCTGAACTCAATGAAACCTCCAGGTGAATGAATGATGCAAAAATTATTTGAATGTTCAAATCAATGAAATTTGAATTTCGTTGGGGATTTTAGCAAATTGAAAAATTCTGTAGAATCAATTTCCCCATCCGAATAACGCTATAAATTGATGTATAAATAATTTGGCAATTCGTGTAAAAAAAATGGAAACCGAAGCGATTTAAAATCCGAAAGGGAGATGAGAAAAAATGGGCAATCTCCTCCTGCGAAAGACAATGTAAAAATTCCGAGAAACTGGGTCCTCTCGATTTATCAGACTCCACATGTCGTTGAGGAATCTATACCTGGGAATATACACGATTTGCTGAGGGAAGAAACAAGGGATAAAGGAATGAGCCGATGTGAAACGAGGATAAAAAAGAAGAGAGATAGGGGGGCGGCGCCTGTGTGAGCAAGGTGTTTACCATTCTGGCCGAAAATTAAGTACAATGCCGAACCCAGAGCGGAATGCCTAGTCCCCAGGAGAAGAGAAAATGTCAGAGAAGTGGGGAACCATTGGCGGAGACCACTGGGTGTTCGAGGTTTTTCGTTCACCTCGACAACACCAACTGGTCCTATCGCCAACCTTTTCGTCCCCACCAGCCCTCACCAGTGAGGATCCTTCCTTCCTGGAAACTACCTTTCCGGCACATCTGTTCTACCTTCTTTCAAGAAAAAATGAATAAGAAACGGGGAACCTTTGGTGGATTCACCATTTCCTGGGTGATTTATTACACCATGAGATTGAGATTGCGAAACTCTGGTGATTAGGGAAGACTGGCCTAAATAGCTTCATCCAATATTAATTGATCCTGGGGATGATGATCATTCAAACCAAAATCTCAGGAGATTTATTTAATTGGCAGTTTTTTGGGGAGTCTAGTTTAATTCATTAAAATCTTGATTTCAAAATTTTGGGTTTCGAGAAAAATTATTGCATTTTCTCGTTAAGCCTGAAGGATTTATTAATTAATTTATGGCTTGATGAAAAATTTACCTTTTGGTTATTATTCGTATTATTGGGGTAACAGATATAGGAGAATTGGGAAATAGATATCTCTGGAAATTTAATGATTCCCAACTCATACATATTCTTATGACCTAAATGTCATGAATAGCACAGTGTCAATTTTTTGGAACGTCACATCCGCTAGTGCCAAAAAAAGAAAACGAAAATTGTTAGAAAGCTCTTTTCATGGAGGTCTGGATTTGTTCGTATATAGTCAGGGTTTTAGAACGGTGGCCTCGGATCAGGTCGACGGCCCCACCTCTTCCACACGAACGCCTCACGGTCAAACTATTTCTAATGCGAATATTTCGTCTACCGCCTTTCACAGGCCGAGGGGAGAATGAAATCAATTAAATTGAGGTTTTAATTTCTTTAATTCGTGAGTTATTCTTGTGATGGTTGGGGAATTTTTTTCATCTATTCACGCCATAATTTTATTATTGGGACTCATATCGAATCGGCTAGTCCATCGTTTTGCTAATTAATTTCATGGGGACATTGGCGAAAGACTTCTGCACGTGGCAGGTACTTTTCCTTGAGGTATCCCACACGGTGATGGAATTATTCACCTGCTCATTATTTATCCGCAATTTGGGTCAAGACTCTGGTAAAAATTCTTATTTCATTTCGGGAAAATTCAAGGGGAAATGGTCAATGGAATTTCAGACTTTTCTGGAGCAGTTTTTTTTTTCATTTTTTAGTGACAGGATGACGAAAGTTACATGACAGTCTGGAGTTTTCCGGGGGAATTAATACCTAATTATAAATTCTTTTGAATTTCCGGGGAATTCCTTCGAAATTCCTGGGACTTCGCGAATTTTCGAGAAATTGAAATTCAAGGACTTTCCTTGAATTTTTCGTATGTTTATTAATAAATATTATAATTATTAATTTTTAAAATAATTGAATTGAAAATTGACGATTTTTTTGGATCGTTTGATAATTTATAGATTTGCGAATTTGATTTTCGGTGTTAAGACTCGATGTGAATTGAAAGTGCTCCACTTGCGATTTGGGGGGGAACAATTGGTGCGTTAAAATTGAGTTGAGTTAAAATTTGAGAAATGATCTCACGCGTGTTTTTTTAGACGCCACAAAGAGCTCCTCGCTCTTCCCTTTCCGGTCCTGGGGTTTTTATTCGGTGGATCAGCCCCATCCCGGGATCAAAAGAAAATGCACAATTGCGGATGCCATATGTCATGATGTACTCGATCCTTTACTCGATCTTTTACTCGATCAACGAGACAAGGTGAACGCACGCCGAAGTGCGCAGGTGTCTCTTTACGCGCTTCACAATCTTTCAACTTTCTTGCAATAATTCCCAAGACCCAATTAATTCAAGTACTATATTATTTTGTTGTCTCGCCAATTGACTAACATTTTCGGTTCATCATTATAACATTTTTCCTTTAAATCCAATTATGAAAACGATTTCTATATCTAATTCTCAATTCTCTCAATTCTCATAATTGCAGATTGGGAGTTGAGAGAAAAGATTGTAATAAATTTATATTTATTATTTATAATATATCTCGTGGTTGAGGAATTGTTTTATTGTTCTTATGAGAATTCATGGCAATTAATAACGATGAAAGAAGTATTGCGGACGTAATTTCTTAGAGGTCATCTGTTTTCGCTCCGAAATTTCAATTCACCCTGCAGCTTGTGCATCAGACTTTATTTTCATTGTTATTGGGGTTTATTATCGTGGCGATGGACGGATGTGCATGGAGAATTGAGGGAAGGGTGAAGACAAAGGGAAAAAAAGTTCAAGTATCCAGAAATGAGCAGGTGGAGAGCGAAGGCAGTCGGTGGGCTAAATTAGAACTGCGTAGACTGGAGGTATTACCTCTCTTTCGAGTCACGTGCGGGGGTTTAATTGCAGGGGCAGGTGGTTGAGGCATCCCCTCCCCCTTCGAAGGACAATTATCTGTGTGGGTTGTTGAATTATATTCCGTATTTCACCGATTGCAAGATAAGAATTCCCTAACACTCCAGTGAACTTCAGGGGAATTCACTACAAAATTTTTCATTAAATATCAACAATCATCATAATTGAGGATTACGAGGTTCAACGGTAACTTGAATTTTTGATTCCCTGAGAATGCAGATGATATAAATTTCCTATCCACTTCGTTATTTTCGGATTAAAAAAAAATTCAAATACCAACTGAACACTCAATTTATTCCATTCTCCTAATATTTATTCATTAAACTCATCAGGTCACGGTAATTAATGATTAATTAAGACTTCCTGGCATTTTCAGTCTTCACTCTATTTTGCAAGAATTTTTTTTCGCACTTGTTATTCAGGAAATAAGTTAAGGAAATAATGAGACTCTATGGATTGGAGACAATCAATAATTGAATCTATCACCTTGAGGGTGATTTTATCTCCACCAAGAGTGATATACATCCATTAAATGGCGGCTCCCATAAAATCATTCAACATAATTCTCTGGAATGAAAACAGCTGCTGTGGGATTTGGACGTGTCTCTGACTCCTCTCTCCTACTTGTCGTCTCTAGTGATGTAAAAAGGAATAAAGAGGGATAAAAAAAAAAGCATATAGAGGAAAATAATAAAAGGAAAAGAATACGAAAGAAGAAACGATATAAAGAAGGGGTGCAACAGGCTGTTAGATGCAGCTGGCGTTGAGGCACGGGCCCGGTGCACCCTTCCAGGGACACCACCTGGCTATCACCTGCTTTTCATGGCTCCTGTGGATCCAGGGACCCACCAGGCCGGAATTCAAAAGTGGAGATACACTGCGACACATTGCTTCATCCAATTCGATAATGCACCGTGTATAACAACTCGGCCCTTCAAAAAAAAAACAGGGGAAACGCCCTTTTCGCCATTTCCTACTGCGCCACCCGTTCGGATTTGTTTTGATTGCAAATTACCGAACACCATGTGCTTCGCCATTTTTTGGGGGGGTTTTTATCATTATCAAGTGCATCGGATAGGAATTGTGGGTTTTCAGAGAGAAAATTCATCATGAGAGTAATTTTTGTGATGAGTTATTTACTCGGAAATTTCTTTTGGAGAATGGAATTCAATGATATCGCAATTTCTCGATTTGTAATGTTTTTCAGGGTAGTATTTTCGCGAAGTAATTTATTCATATTATGTAATCTTTCAACTTGGAGGATTTTTTGGGAATATTTTGAGGGGTAATATTATTACCGAATAAAATTGAGAACGATCACCGCATTAATTCATTTTTTTTCATTTTTCATTTTCCAGATTTTCAGGATGATTTAGTGAATTGAAAGTAAAGAATTGTTTTGAATTGATACAAAGAGGAATTCAAATTCCTGACATTGGAATTTCTCCTGATATTCCAATGAACCATTTGAAGTATAAATTTTTAGGTTTTTAGATTGAGATCGAAATGACGCGATGTGTGGAAAGAAGGGGGTTACGTAGGTTGTCATAGACCCATCTCTTTTGATATTAAATAATTCCTCATATCAGTCGCGTTATCTATTTAGGCTTGCTCAAGCTATCTGGTTGTTTGCCAGAAACTCTGGCTTGCGCTTTGGAGTTGTCAAAAAAAAAAATTGAAAAAAAAATCTCCTGATCTCCGGTTGCATCATGCCACTTCAAACACCGACTATTCAACGTTCAATTTTCAACGCTCAAAATCATCTCGACTTGGATTTTGCGTGGCAAAAAAAACGAGTATCGTGACACGAAACAGACGAAAAAAAAATGCATATGAGAAACGAGAATGGAATTATCTCCGGATGGGTTCTAACTCGCGAATTCGTCGGTGTGGAAGTAACGGGCGAGTGATAACCAGACGTATCGCCCCCTCGGGTGCCCAGAGAGCCGATAAAAAAATCTGTCTCGGGAGAATTTGAATTTTCAAAAATTCATCCCTTTGAATACATGTGCCACTTCCTAGTCCCCAAAGAATTTGAATTTCATGGAGGATCTAGACTCCACAATTATTTTGATGTCCACCGGTACTAGATTAAAATCGCACTCGACATTTCCAATTCAGGTATGAATTTGGCGTAAACTAACGGTATCAACAACCGTTAACAATTATTCATTGTAGACCGAAGAATTGACGAACAATGAGAATTTTTTTGGACAGTTATGTGACATTTTAGGCGGGTGTTAGTAAATTTGAGTTGTAAATGAATTTATATTTGAGCATCTACTGAGACGTTAATAAATAAATTGAATTTGGAGAATAATAAGAGATGGGTGTAGTACCTATTCTGTCGGGAGTTGTGCTCTTGATTTAAATTCCCGATGTTACCGGATATTTTCGCGAAAATATACAACTCTTGTTGATGTTTTGGTATTTAAACTTACCCATAGGTCATCGAGTGTGATGGAATTGTCTGTGTAGAAAACGAGAATCTCAGCTGTGACTGACCTCGTTTCTCGTAGTTTAGATGCCAGAAGAAGACAGGCGGTACCGAGTAATTGTAATTGTGATTTTCGGATTGGGCAGATCGATAAAAATCTGTCCAAATAATTCATCGACAGGGGAAACACTTCAGCCTGGCACTTCTGCTCCTCACAAACCTGAAAAACAACAAAAATTCTTTCAAACTATTTCAAAACTTTTAGATTTTCTTACGATTTTCAGTGCTGATTGCAATTCTCGCTTTTGTGCATGTTCAATTAATTATTCTGAATTTGAAATGCATTTAGTTCCCGGAATTTTCACAATACCATTTAAAAAATTATTAATAATAAAATAATTACACGATTTTTAAATAATAAAATGCATATAAATTTCCCGTGAATGTCTCGTTGCAAAAAATTTCAAGTTCTCCACCAAAAAATTTCAAGGATAATATTCTATTCCGCAGAATAGAGAAGATATATAAAATCTTTAAACCTGAAATAATTTCGCAAGAATTTCAAACGAGCACGAAAGTTTTTTCGGTTCCCACAGTTTTCTATGAGAGTCTGTGAGACTCAGAGAGACGTAAAGTGCCTCCAAATTGATTGAGAAATATCTCCAAGAGGATTGATCTGAGTGGATAATTAATGAGGGAATGTTAGAAGAAATACCTCGACTGAATTACTTTATATTCTTAAATATCTCGGCTTAATCATATTTTTACACTTGGCGGAGTAATCCGATGATTTGCACATATCCTCGGACTCCTATAACGAGCTCCGAAGGAAGTAAACATCGTACAATGAATCTATCCCCATTTAAAAATCTACACACCGTAGCAGTCGCCATTTTCGAATTTAACACGCGGTGAGCACGAGAAATCTTCAAAATTATCAATCCAATATTCCATTTTTCACGATTCTGACTTGTTCCACAAACAGATAACGATTCGCGACAGACATCCCACAACTTCTCTTATCTTCAATTTTTTGTTTCAAAAAATTAAAGAAGCGAATGAATTGTCGAGGGGCGTCAGCAATCATTTGATAGAACTGAAAAAATGGAGGGTAATGAGCGTAACGCAGACTACCCCGTGCCCTTTTATTCCGGCAATTATAATCCCTCGGCGATGGAGGAATAACAATAATAATGAGGGGACAATTAAAAAGAGCAGTGAGGATTTGCGATTTCCGAGGTATCCACTCTTGCAGGACAAGAGTTATTGTTGATGAGAAATTCATTCGAGTAATTGCATTAGGATTTTTTTACAAAGCGGTTGCCCTCCTCCCACGCATCTTAATTTGTTTTATAATTAACTCAAATCCATTTTCATTCATTTATCGGGTGTGTAAAAATAGGGGATCATTCATCGGTGAATTAAAATTTTTTCGAGGAATCCTCATTGGATCTCCCGACATCTCCATAAATTATCATCCACGTAAATAAACATTGTCTTGAACTTCGAATTCTACTCATCATTCACTGTTCAATAATTCTCGTGAATTTTACTTGCAATAATGATTATTTATAAAAATTTATCGAATCCTGCAAGAATCCATCCTAAATGCTGTACGTCAAAAATTGATTGATAAAATTAACGGAATGCTGGAGGAATTCTCATTGATAAACAGAGAGTTCCAGAAGAATTGTTACCAATTCGCGATCCTGTCAGTAAAAATCTTAATTGCAATTAAATGCCATTGAATTATCTGGAATTGTGAGTGAGAACGAATTATTTCTAAAAGCGATGCACCGTTGGGACAATGAACGGGTTTACTATTTTCCATCTGGTGGAATATATATGGAATTCCTCAGGGATTATTAGCATAACAATATGCAATAGCTGGAGATGATGAATAAGATGGTTGAAATTCCCAGTGATCCCACGGGGTTCGATTGGTCTCGGCTAGAGTCTGGGTTGAAGGAATTGAAGCCAATAAACTTGGCAGACGTTCAGCGAGTCCAGTCACGTTTTTTTTATACAACATCTCTCACATTCTCTCCGTCTCCACCCCAAGGTCATTCTTACAAATCCCCAGTGTCCAGAACAGCAATTACACTCAATGTTTAAGTGCATTAACGCCACTCTCATTACGACACCTCAGTATCCCAATATCGAAAATTATTCCCTCTTGTTTTCCCCACGTTTAAATGTCCCACTTGCACCTTCTCTTGTTCCTTTTGTCCCCCCTCAACTCGCGGATACATTGTCCACCAGGAAACGTATGCAGAGAGAGTTATTACCATAGTGGAATGAAAGAGGAAGCCAAGACTGATTGTGTACGACTGAAGAAAAAAGAAGGAAAAAAAAAGATCGACAAAAACTTCATTTGCCTCGTGTGCGGAATTTCATTCTCAACCCGACGAGGTTTGATATACCTGAGTTCCCGGAATTCACGTGTTAAAAATTCACGAAGGTCGACAAAATCCTCACAGAAAAAAAAAAAAATAATAAATAACCGTTCGATTTTTTGTCCCCCACGAGAATTGACAGATTCGCAGGAATTCCCCTGGGGTAGAGAAAGCAAAAAATTGTCGAGTGAAAAAAAAAAGTCAGAGGCTCTTCTGTCTTCGTCTTCGCAGATGTCGTTGCAGTGGTAGCAGTTACGTCAATGTATAAATTTCCATCTGCGAGTGTTCGAAGTATCGATTCCTCTCCTTCTCACACCTATCCAAAAATAGATTCTCAATAAGAGTGAGTAATACTATTCTGTAAATATCTCGGAAACCACGAGGTTTATCGAAAAAAAAAGTAAGAAAGAAAATCGTGAGAACTTGAGGAGACATTCGTGGGCCATTGAATTCTTGATTAAAAAAAAATGTCTACAGACTGATCCATAAAAACGAACGAGCCGATCCAATAATCCATGGAATTCCCCGGCGATTGTAAAACCATTGTCCAAAAGAAACCAATCACTCGGCAGTATTACAAGAGGCCGTAATCAAGTTTCTGCCGGATGTCAAGGCAAATGGCACTGAGGGAGTTAGAGTGGTCTGGGATCGCCGACCTCGAGAAATATTCGCGCACGTGCGGGTGCTGAGGTGATACCAGCAGGATATCCCCCATGAGAATCTCTCAAAAATATCTGAAACTTGAATATTCTTACAAAAAAATATTCCACCAAAACTGAAGTCGAAGCTGAGATCCAAATTGTGATGACGATTGTAATCCAAATTGTAATCCAAACTGTCCAGACCAAAGTCCATTCGCAAAGGGCATTTAAATGCCAGTGATTTAAATATCCCCAGAGTGGCCACGTGTAACGGAAATGATATCTCTTCACGTTAGATTGTAATAAAAAAAAAAAACTCACCTCCAACATCCACTCGGCGACAATTTTGCGCATGATCGGCGATATGTCCCTCTGGACACATTCAAAGTACGAGCTACTGGGGGCGTAACGTTCCTCAGTCTTCAACAAATTCTGAAGTACCCTCTCATCACCAAGCAAAGCTGGATCAGCATAAGCCCTGCATTCCGTTTCCGTGGTCTCACAGCACAGAAGATCCATTTTATACAGTACGATAAATAAATGATAATGTTCACAAAATAAAAATGTCAAAGAGATGAGTCGCGAGAGAGAGATATTCGTTGCCTCCACGTGGCGGACGTTCTCCTCGTCGAAACGCTCTTCGAACACTCAATTCTGCCAGATATTTAAACCGTCGGTAGAGTTCACTGACAGATAAATATCAACTTAAATACCCCGAAAAACACCCAGAAATAATCACGAAAACCACTTGTACACTTTATCCACTGTAAATATACAAAACAAACATTGAATTTCACCTCTGATGTTCAATAATAAATCGACCTCGTGGTCACCTCGTGCACAAACACTTTTAATTCTCAACGGGCTCTCAACTTCCAAGACTCTAAATTCTCCTGTAATTCTCACGTTATAATATCTCCGCAAGTGTGTGAGCTTCCAGTAAACACTATTCTCTCCAATAATTCGATTAAATTTAAGTATCGTTCACTGATTGTTGGAATTTATTAATAAACGACGTTAATCACTAGGTAATAAATAAATTGGCCTTTGGGTGTTTGCGTTGAGAATAGAAATTTTACTCGAATCTTTCTAATTATTCATTGTTGGTGGTGATATTATTTGGTGATTTTTTGTCCCTGGGTTATTGTTAATTAACGAGACTAGCGAGATTGTTGTTTGTCTCACTTTGTCGCGATCTGACTCTGGTGACTTACCAGGTCAGAATGCCGGGACTGTGTTTTCTGGTGTGCGAATGGTACGAGCTCTGAGGGACTTCTGCCAGTTGGAAAACGACACCCCCACCAGTTCGGCGCCAAGAAATGTGCTGCCACGTGATGTATAGCAAAAGCACTATTTCCCGTTCTCCCCACTGCCACCACCGACCTTCGTCTCTTTCGGCGCCTACCACTTTTATCTCACTCCCTCTTTTACCTCTCGCTCTTTTCTCCCCGTTGATGTACACGAGGGAACACGTTCCTGGCTACACCAGAATCACCAGAACCACCAGAACCACCAGAGCTACCAGATGGATCCCTTTCAGGGGAAAGGGGAAAAGGGGCACCGGGTTAAGGGGAACCAGCAACACCCTGGGAACCCTCGTCCAGGGTGGGGGAGATGGACATTTGTGGAGGTCCGAGCGAAGTGAATCGCCAGTTCGAGTGTACGGTCGGTTCATACAGCGGCTTCGAGACGTCCGGGGGAATCAGCATAGGATCTGCCATGTGGAGGCTCCTCGTCAGAGCTGATATTACGGTTTTATACTGCGAATACGAGATTTAAGATGCGTGAAACTGGCGTTGGCCCTTGCCAATTTTACGAAATGGAGATTTTCTTTGCATTTTTAAATTGAAAAATTCAGAATTTTCAAAAAAGTATCAGGGAAGCATGAGAATCGAGGAGGTATTCACTGGAATTGAAAAATTCGAAATTTTCAAAAAAGTATCAGGGGAGCATGAAAATCGAGGAGGTATTCACGGAAATTTGAAAATTCGAAATTTTGAGAAAGGTATCAGGGGAGCACGAAAATCGAGGAGGTATTCACTGGAATTGAAAAATTCGAAATTTTCAAAAAAGTATCAGGGGCGCATGAAAATCGAGGAGGTTCACTGAAATTCACAGAAATTTGACAATTTAAATATTTTCAATGAATTTATAGTTCAGTAGAATTTGTAGTTTTTTTTCGAGCCTGTGGTATTCTTGCTATTTCCTTGAAGTCGTCTCGTATGTGTTGTATGGAAAAGTACTCTTTAGAAAAATTATACTGCCGGTACTGGAGAAATTCTAATCTACCAACCATGGAGAATTCTAGTATTCAGTAAAAGTTCAGTAAAATTTATGTGAAAATTTCATATCAACACGAGAGAAATTTGCATATTGCCTAATAAATTTTCCAGCGCTGGCACTAGAAGTCTCCATATCAGTAGCGAAGTGGTAAAGTAAGATAAGACGACTTTAACATTTTTCTTAATTGTCGATTTATCTTGAAAACTATCAATTTAAGTTGTGAGCATTAATCGACTATTTTGGAGCTGATTAAAATTCTGTGTGTCTCTGAAAATATTTCTTCAACCCATATTTTATCAAATTGCAAAATCTTACCAATCGCATTTTTCTATACAATTTATTTCTTTATAAACAACTCTTGCATTTTTAAAAAATATACAATTCGCCGATCTCTCGATCTCTCGCCGATCTCTCGCATTTCGGTGGTTGAATTATTCAATTAACACAATTTTCTGTTATTCTAACGAAAAAATTATCAGTAATTTGATTTCCTTAGAAGGGGAGAAGGACATCCGGGAATTAATGGGAATAATGACGGTTGAGAGGAAATTATGATTGAGTTTTCCAAGGAGATGAAAAAGAAGATAATAGTAATGACTTTTCTCTAACAGCGATTAATTAACGAGGGAATATCGAAAAGCTTCTTAATTTTTTTAAACTGAAGTATACCCATATCTTTCTGTTCCAAAAAAAATCCAACTAAAAAAAATAGATCGATGAATGGATTAAAGAGTGAGTAAAAATACTCAAGACTTTCCACGGGGTGATTACGATAAGATAACATTCAGTTAATCTTGGAAGAATGAGAGATGAAAATAAGTTGTTGATTTTAATTCCCGAATTCCAATGAATTAATCAATGGCGGAAAAAATCTAGTGGAAAATCACAATAAAGAGCGAAATATTGTTGTTTACCTCATAATTTGGGCAATTGTTAAAGGGTTCGATTGAAAAATTGTTTAATGCAATTATTATTATATAAAGTGAAAGTAATTTTTGTCATTTCCATCTAAAAAAAAAATTCTCTCTGAAATCCCTTGGAGAGATGATGAATGAACCGTTGGCGGATCAGCAAAAGAAAAATTCCCATTTTTTTACGTCAAGAGTAAAAAGAATGGCAAATTTCTAGACAAAACCCCGAACATCCTGTTCCAAAGTCCACGGGCCAAAGGATCGTGTCTCTCTCCCGTAGGAAGTATCTTTTGCACTTGAAGGGCTTCGTGGAACCATTAGAAATATCCTCATCTCAACAATCCCTCTGGTTTCTTTCTCAAAGGACAAACAGAAAAATAGACGAAAGGAAGACCTCCCTCGATGTGACGGCCCTTTAACTGCCCTCAGGACTAAAAAATAACGGTTTCAAAATTTCTCCACTTCTCCAAGAAACCTCTGCTTTGTGATGAACAATGGGCACCATCGAATTATCGTGTCTGCAACTGTGACAGTCGCCCCAACACTTGCTGATTTTTTGTAATTCATTAAATGTGAATTATCACTTGAATAAAATAATCTCATTAGATTTTCCCCAGTTGTCAAACGAAAACGTTTTTTCCCATAATCGAGAAAAATATTTATTGAATCAAGCCTACGATCTGAAAAATCATCAAAATATTTGAATCTAAAGAATTAAAAAAAAATTGTACCTCTGGGAAAATCCCATGGAAATTCAATTAATGGAAATCGTCAGGTCATGCGGAACATTGAAAATGTGGAATAATGAAAAGTTCATTTGCAAGGCATGAGAGTGGGTTTATAATAAATAGTATTACAATTTATTGAGGTGGTCAAGATTCGACCGAGTCGACTGCAACGGAGGTGGGAGTCCAGGATTTCCGTCAGATAAATTTTCGTCATCAAGATTGAAATGAATAAAAAATTGCTGAAGCTTTAATTTAAAATTCCCTGCCTTGTTACACCCCTTAACTCAACCATTTTTTATACGAATTCATAATTCCACGATGGATTTATACGAGGGGAAAGAACTTGGTTTTGACATGCACACGCGATTACGTTTGAGCCCCTCACAACACCGGATGTGCATATTGCCTTCTTGCTCATCGCAAATGTGTGCAGTCGATTCCTTGGACTCTAATTGTTGTCCTCAGTGTAAGATGTCAATCTGTCCACGCAACTACTGGACGACAGTGCAATTCTGATTTTTCCTGAAGAAAACTTCCCCCAGGTACGAAAAATGAAAAATTTGAAAAATCATCTCTCATTCATTTTCTACAGTGCACCTCCTCTCCAGTAAATTCCTTTTATTATTTAAAACGTCACAATAATATTATATACCTATAATTAATATCTCTATATATATTTACATATCTATTGTTCACCAAAAAAATCCATATGATAAATATGTCATAATTGAATATTGTCTATTACACAAATCGTTTCGTATTTTAAATATATCGTGCAATTGTTTGGATATATATTTTTGGGGAGGGTAACACATATTTACCGAAAATGGTTGGCTATTTAAATCAAAGTATGTGGAGGCCAATGGTGCGATGGTTGGAGTAAAATTTACGCACTCGTATTTAACTTCACTAGACCGTGAACCGTTCTGGATGGTGCTTACCCACTGTACACGCTCGTTACGCTCACGTGCTCTCCTTCTTTCTTAGTACATTATCCATTCCATAGTACTACCCACAGGAGGAGGAAGTCGGCTTTCGTTTGTGCCACTTCAATTGTCTTACACTTATTCACGTCCTCGGTATATATAGAGTCCCTTTCTGGGACCTTGACTCCTGGACAAATATCACAAACTCATTTCACACGGGGGGCTAAAGAAAATATATTTCATTAATTACTATTGAGTTTGAGGGATTTCTTCTGGGATGCGTGTGACACATTGGAATTGGAGGAGTTGGACGTTGGGGAAGATTGCGGGGAAACCTTATGCTTCAATTGCGTAACAGTCACGAGAAATCACGTTGGCATTTTGAGAATATCGTCGGGGGAAGAGGAATGGATTTCATGGTGACACTGGGAGGAAAATCTAGCCTTTTAACAAACCAATGTCAAAGATATTTCGCGATTTTCAGGAAATTATCGTCGGGGTGAATTCTGTAATTCCTCACACCATCAGGTGATGGTTTTCATTACTCGTGTGTCTTCCAAAAATTTTTCTGGACTCCTAAAAAAATTTGAGTAATAATTCTTTGAGGGATAATTTTTTTTTTCATTATTCACAAATATTTTTTTGAAGCAGCAGCTGCAGGTGTTAATATAATGATAAAAATATAATTAATTGCATTATAATAATGAGAAAATGGTACGAGGACAAGTTTAATAAATTTTTTCAGGCGAATGCATGTGTTGGTTTTTTTAAATAGTGCAAATAATGCATTTGACAGGAAATTTGGAATTGGAATTGAAGAGGTATATGTATGCGATTTAAAATAAAAGATGGTGATAGTTGAATCTGGGATTCGGCTGAATGAATTCCCTGAATGATCTGATGCAGAATATATTCCTGAGCTGTTGAATGAACCCGAGGCACATCATGACGTAATTATCAGTATTTTAGCCTCTGACCTCCCACACTGGCGTTTCCGTTTCGTACATTGGCGAGTGCATCGTCGAGGTCTCAGACACCGTGACTACGTAATCAACGATTCCCAGGATGATAATGAGAGAAGTTGTACACCCGCTGGGTGCTCTCTTCACTCACCTACCTCAATTGCTGGAAAGTAATGAGCCAATTGTCAGAGCATTTCTCGGCAATGCAATGATAAATTTTCGATTACTCTCACCTCGCCTGAATTTCAATTGCACAATTGCAAAAATTCGCCAACCGATTGGATTTTTATGGGTTTTAAGTGAATAATTGGATGAGGAAAGAGGTGCGTTGTGCGTAATTGTGCGTTGAGTACTCCATGCAATTACTCAAAAACGCGTGAAATCAGCGTCAAACAATTGTCGAAATAACGGGTGAAATTTCGATTGTTTTTTTCACCGTTCACCTCCTTTCGA